CTGCTCGCGTGCAGGCGCGGGAGCGTCACCGTGTACCAGGAGAGCTCTGCCCTTGTTTTTAAGTCATAAACAAAGAGAAACCTTTGCTCTTGCGTGTCCCGTTATCGCTCAGCACTGTGTGGTTCTGGCTGCTTTCACAGTAACCTGGAGGGGTTCCTGGAGGAGTTTGCAGACATCTCCAAGGAGGACCAGATCAAAAAGCTCCACGATCTGCTGGGTCCCCACATGCTGCGGCGGCTCAAGGCGGACGTCTTCAAGAACATGCCCGCCAAGACGGAGCTGATTGTGAGAGTGGAGCTGAGCCAGATGCAGAAGTGAGTAACTCCAACACAGCTCCCCGGGGTGGCCGGCTTCCCTCAGCCCTCCTCGTCTGCAGCACGGCGGGGCGTCAGGGGGGTTCGGCAGCTCAGAGACCCCCGTCCTCAGCCCTGCCGCGGGAAGAGCTGGGGGGCGTTCTGTCCCGCCGGGAGGGCTTCCCGGGCTGAGGCTGAACCCCCCTCTTCTCCTGTTTTTGGCACTGGAGCACCAGCCTGTGCTGCCAGCTCGCCCAGTGTCAGCCTGGAGCATCACTGCCGCAGGGGATGCTTGCTCAGCTCCCTTTGTTTCGGGCTGACTTGCTCAGCTTCAGTGGCATCTTCTGCAGAGGTTGGGGACTTGCAGGGAAGGGGACGTCGCGTCTTACCAGCACGACGGGGCAAGGCTCGCTTGGCACCCGGCGCTGGGGAGCGCTCCTGGCTGCTGTGCCCCAGAGTCTTCCCACTTAGCAGGGCTGTGGTGTCCACAGAGCAATGGTATAAACCCGTCCCGGGGCTGAGGGGCTGAACAGTTGCTTTTAGAAATGTCCAAATGTCCCTTTTGAAGTGAAGCAGGTGGGGTTTGGTGCCATCCTGCTGATGCCAGTCCCACATCTGGGCGGATTACCAAGGGTGTCTGTCCCGTCCCTGTTCCCGCAGGAAGTACTACAAATTCATACTGACGAGGAATTTCGAAGCCCTGAATTCAAAAGGTGGTGGGAACCAGGTCTCGCTGCTCAACATCATGATGGACCTGAAGAAGTGCTGTAATCACCCGTACCTCTTCCCCGTGGCGGCGGTGGTACGTCAGCCGGGTTTGCACCGTGGAGACGTGTCTCGGAATGTTGTGTGTAAGCCGTCGGGGGGGGCTGTCTCCATGAGCTTGCTTTGGTCGACGTGTGGGCTTTTGAGTGAGTGGTTTCATATGAGGCTTTTGTCTTTGGAATGCATGTGAATTTGTCCATGAATGAGTGTTGTCTTCGAAGAGGCTAACGAGGATTCCTTCACAGGAGGCGCCGGTTCTGCCCAATGGATCTTATGATGGGAATTCTTTGGTCAAATCTTCTGGGAAACTGATGCTGCTCCAAAAGATGCTGAAGAAGTTACGGGATGGGGGTCACAGAGTTCTGATCTTCTCCCAGGTGAGCATGGGGAAGGATTAATAATAAATACATTTTTAAAGGATTTTTTTTTGTTCTGTATGAGAATTTTGTGCTAGGAACAGATAGAGATAGGTGGAAGAGCTGGTGGCAGCTTGTCCCCCAGGCAGCGTGGCAGCTGATGCAGTCACGATGGATGGACGGCATCCCAGCTCTCTCCCAAGGGAGCGTGCCTGTGTAAAACCTCTTTTATCTATGGATAAAGAGGAGATAGGAGTAATAGTGCTCCCCTTTGGAGAGGGCCGTCCAGACACGATTCCCTCGTGCCGGCAAAGCCGCCTGTAGCAGGCGAGAGGCGAGTGCCTACCATCGTGTTTGGTTTGCTGTTAAATTACAGGGTATTACAACTGGCTTTTTCTTTAAAGAAAGTTTTTTTCACTTTCAGAAATCCCTTCTGCGTCAAGTCTTCTCTCTCATTTTCCAGTTGCTCTCAAAGCTGTGTACTGGTGCTAAATCCACGTTTCTAATTGAGATTCTAAGCAGGAAAAATTGCATCATTGGCTTTTGTTTTCCCGTGAAAGCCCTTATTAATGGAGACTGCCTTATATAAAGCAGCCCCCTTTCACCTTTGAAAACAAAGAAGAGTTCCTGTCCGAAACGACACGGGCGTGCCTGCGCATCGGTTGTGCCGTGCTGGCAGATCCAGCTCCCCGAGGCCCACGCGGGCTGCTCGTGCCGTGTCGTTAAGCCCTGGAGTTGTGTCCCACAATGAACCCCAGCGTGCCAACGGCAGGCTGCTTAGCTTGAGGGACTCCTGCGTTTCCCTTCAAGGCTTTGGTAGATGGCAGAGCTTCCCCTTTGGCTCTGGAGCCGCGTTTTCTCCAGTGACTGACTCCCAGGGAACCATGTGTTTTCACTCCTTGCCTTCCCTGCCAGTTGCTTGTTGGCTTAGAGCGGTGGTTCCCGCTGTTTTATCGCTAAAGCGCGGCACTGCACCTTTCTGCGTCAGCAGCGCTCCTTTCTGTCTCACCGTTTGCCACCTGTGGGTTTGTCTTTCTCAGCTCCTGGTGCTCAGCAGTTCTGCTTTCTCCTCTCTACCCGCGCCGGCGGTCTGGGCATAAACCTTGCTACAGCCGACACAGTCATTATTTATGATTCTGACTGGAATCCCCACAATGACATCCAGGTTTCTGACTTTTCCTTTTCCTTCCCATGTAGTAAGTACCTCTGTGGCTCTGCCCCTTTTGCACACCCTGCACAGGCGAGTCGGTCTCTTCTCTTGAGAGCTGCCGACGCTTTCTGCTGTGTTCGTGGGGTGCGTTTCTGCTCAGCAGCTCCCTTCCTGCATCCACCAGCCTCACCCTGGCCTGTCTGCCATGTGGGAGAGACCTGGCACGTAAAACCAGCTCTCTTCCTCGGGCTTCTTGCTTCCTCCTGCTGCTTGTTCGCAACCAGGTGTCCCCTCCTCTTTTGGGGAGCTTCCACTTGTGTTTCCAAAAGCCTTGGGGGGGACCTTAGCTAAGAACTGACTGCCAAGGGGAA